ATGCAGCAGGTATTTTACGAGTGGTTCGCATTTATAGATTAAAATTGGACACCCTGTACATGTAATACATAAATAAAAAATATACAGTAACTAGACAAGGCCACAACTCTATTCCAAATGAAGTTACAAACAAATCGTGGATTAAAATTGTGCTTTTACTGGAGAGTAATCGTTTTAAGTAGAACGTATCGATACATAGTCAGACGTACTCATAGAATCTCCTCGAAAGCGTATATAACATGAATAAACAATAAGCTGTTGAATAATTGTCGAGTGAGAATGAATAAAACTACACGAGTTAACATTATTAATAACGATTCTGCGAACGTTTATTATTTAAAATGATCACTCTCCGAAATTAAGTCGCGCAGATTGGAACGCATATATTTTCCTTCCTTAATTAATTCCATTCGGAGAGTACGGAACCAGTGGAGAGAATTACAGTTGAAAATTATACATTTTTCACGATGCTTTTAATATAATAAAATCATAATATCATATTTGCTGCATCCTTTTAACTTTCGCCGTATATTTTCACCGGATTTTCAGAAATGTTTCAATTCAACGTTGCTTTTGCCTTGCAACTAACTGCCGCGTTATTTCATCTCGACAAACAAATTAACTCGTCATTCCTGCGATATATTATGCGATTAAAAACAAAAAAGAGGAAGATATAATAAAGAAGCTTCATTACGAGGGAAACAAATTCGTCCTTTTCTCCGCATCTCTCTGCGAGCTTTGTGCCGACGGTTAATTAATCTTGCTATTACTTCTGCCATGCGTGTTTCCTCTTCTCGTTCATTCTCACGCTAATACAAACATGAGAACATAAAGAACCCAAAGCTTCGCGAAATACTCTAGGAAAAATTGCTACAAACAATGTACACGCGATTCCGTTGGATTACATCCGCAGTAGTGAGTATCCGTATGCAGTCAGACAAGTGCTTTTTGTGACAGTAGCTAATAAGGGACATTATACACGAGTCCAATTCCATTTTACTCTACTTGTCACAGTAAAATAATCACTTCTACCTCTTTCACGACCTCTCCTTTTTATCTCGTAATCCCTTTCTCGGTTTCCCACTTCTGTCTAGTTGGCGACCTTGGAATTAGAAGTATAGAGCTTACACGTTGTACTCGTGAAGGTAGACTTATTCGTGAAATATGAAGTTCAGAATTTTCACGGACTGTTTAATACAGTATAATTGAACATTGTGAAAATTATAATACTGCGGAGCGTAACTACAACACAACTGACATTTTTAAGTTGTGTCATTTAAAGGAGCATAGTAAATAATGTGCCTCACATGGAAACACATTGAATTTGTCTGTATACATATACCAAAATGGAATCGACACAACATTTTAGAACCTCTGCAAAACTATAGCACCACTGTAATGTTTAATGCATTTCATGGTATGGTATATATTAGGTAATCCCATAAAATCCTGCCGAAAGCGAAAAATATTGTAATGAAAATCCTAAGAAATTTTATAACGATATTAAAAAAAAAATAGGAAAAAATTGTAGAATTAAAAGGCGTTTTCGTTTTTTTTTTTTTTTTAATCAAACTTAAAGGTTCGTTGCGAATATTGATCTAAATTATTTTTATTATCCTCTTTCACCTAATATTATGAATACCCAGAAGTGGTTATTTACTTAAAACACCAAAATTCTTGAAAATTGTACCAGTGCCATAATTCTGCTCCGCGGTGTATCTCCCAGATTTGTTCACCTAACAGTACATTTCAAAGAAAGTGACTAAACGTCTCGTTAATATCTCTCCTAACCAGCAGACATCCATATTCACGCAAAAGTAACCTCACATACCCCTTGAAAAAAAAGGGGGGACTCTAAACAAGGTAACATAAAAAAAGAGTCAGTCGAAAGTTTTCTCCGGCTGAAAGGTCTCGCGAAAGGGGCAGGCCGAGGGGAGAAAAGGGGAGATAAGACAAAAGCACGAGCCGCGAGAAAATATTGGACGCGGCCGGGGAAAACAACGTGAACCCATCCTCGTTCACGCGGGGGGGATTATCTTCTAAACGCGATTTTCGCGTTGCTAGCCCGGCTCTCGCGTTTCTGAAATCTCGATGCCGTTACTTTTCATTTTCCGGTAACACCGTCAAACGAGCCGACGCTATCCTCGAATCTCGCCTGGAGAGCGTTTGCTTAAGGAGGGCATTTATCTCGCGCACCGCCACCGGCTAGAGTATTACGGAAACGAGGAGAAATTCTCGCACTTTGTTCTTATCTACGCCCACGGAAACGCCTTTTTAAGGGGACGCGTTGCATTCTCGGCCTCTAAGAACGGACCGTCCGCGAGAAACTTCGGCCTCGGTACTTTGATTCGGTCCAGTTGCGTTCAGATAGCTCTGAAGATGAGGGTTTCTTTAAGCTGCGTTCGGTGCGTCGTTCGGAGAGACCAAGTAACAGAGAATTTTTCAAAATTTTTCTTCAGTTTCCGGATGGATCGTGTGATAACTTTAACACTGAATTTAGTCTGAATTTTTTTATTTCATTATCATAACCATATGGAGAATTTTCGAAGCTTTAACGTTCGAGTATCCTTCATAAATACTATTTTCATTATCATAACCATATGAAGAATTTTTCAAGCTTTAACGTTTGAGTAACCTTCATAAAAATGATTTCCATGAAACGAGAAAAGAGAAGTCTGAAATTTTTTTATTTAATTATCATAACCATATGGAGAATTTTTCAAGCTTTAACATTTAAGTAACCTTCATAAAAATGATTTCCATGAAACGAGAAAAGAGAAGTCTGAAATTTTTTTATTTAATTATCATAACCATATGGAGAATTTTTCAAGCTTTAACATTTAAGTAACCTCCATAAAAATTATTTCCATAGAAAAAGAAAAGAGAAGAGAGTTCTTAATTTTTATAAATTTAATAAATAAAACTGCCAAGTAATCTGAGAGATTGCACGTCTATGGTAACTCTTCAGTTGCGACAGATCTCATACATATAGTAACATAATCTCTAACCACCGGGAGTGCTACTACTAATTCTACAGTGCATATGAAATTTTCATCGCTCAGGTTCTTCTCTATATTACTTCCATAAATATTCGCCAAAATTTTCACTAAAAACATTCTAAAAGTATTTATTTTCTCATACTTACTTGAAATACATCTGCGTCAAATTTCTTATAAATCAAACACTTTGCTATTCGCTACATTACTCGTACATCCCATCGACTGACCAGCGAAAGGGTTAATTAATCGTGTACAAAGGGCAGTTTCACCGGCAACTAGTTGCAGACTAATAAATCGAAAATTAGCGATATAAATTAACCGTGAAGTTCACGAACATAGGCACCGCCTCGAACATACTTCAAACGCCGTTAATTCGCCATCAAAGGCGAAACGGCCATAACTCCCATATACCACGTGTCCAACAAATTTCTATATATATATACATGCGTATAAACGAAATACGTTGCTCGTTTCATGAAAACAGACGAAAGAAGAGGAAAAAAGAAATGAGAAAAACTGTGGAAGCGTTGCAACGATCTCTTCGTCCTTCGATCGAGCACAACGAGCGACGGTATTATTGCGTTTTATTCCCTCGTTCTCTATTCTACGGTTTCGCGGAGGCAGACATAGCGTAATGTATAAATATGAAACTTGTCGGCGGCAGGATATTAGAATGCCTCGATCAATGAACAATGCGGCGCGCAGAAAACAGATTTACGCTGCAAATTGCGTCCCGATGCTCCGAGAGAAAACGATTCGCACAGACGGCTATAGCTAGAACGACTGCTCTCTCTATTTGGGAATGCACGATCATTTTTGTCGGACGCCATAATCCCGGAAATTGAAAGGTGCACCTACTCTCTGCGGATCATTCTCTCTTTGCTTTTTAAGCTCGAACAGACATTTTTTTGTTGTTAAAGCATACAACGCTGGTATCTCTGGATATGTTCCTCGATGAAGAAAAAATAATGCGTCGCGACTCTGCGACTCTGTTCCACCTTGTGAAACTGTTAATCGAGAATTTTATCGTGCAAAAGGTGTGTGTGTAGGGGCAATTGTAGTTATGATTTGCTTTGGAACGAATATGGACGAAGGGAAATATGCGAGGTGTGACAATAGAGGACGAGAATATTGTAATTTGCTTTTTCGATCGAAAAGGTATCGTCCACACAGAGTCCGTTTTAATTTTTTTCGCGATATGAAAACCAATGTCGTGACAACGCGATTGCTAATTTTCACGGCAGCAAATGTTCTCACGACAGTAAAAATCGCGATTTATTGTAGCGTAAAAGCGTGTTATCTTGAGAGTCAGAGTTTAGAGTCGAAAGTGAGAGTTTTGAGAGAGTATCGAGTGTTAGAGTACTGAAATATCGTATATTTCAATATTTCTATTATTATTTAAATATATATCATTATTGTTTCAGTTTTCTCTGAGTCAATGATATAATATTCCTATACTATTTTTTATTAACACATTAGTGACGGTATACTAAGAAATAGCACGAAACTCGAAAATGATACAATGACAAGTTTCACATCTACAATTTAAAAAAAATAATTTGTAACACTTCGTTCAATAATAGAGGTGTAAATGATGTGAATTGGCGAAAACTCCCGTCGCTAACAGCTGAGAAACAAAATGTTCCCATTAACAATGTGTTATTCAAATTAAAAAAAAAAAGAGAGAGAACATCAAGCACATTACTTCAGGAAAGCTACGTCACAGCAGTCCAAGGTATATCTACTTGCAAGTAACTCGGCGGATCAATCACTTCCATTCAACTTCCGGCGTCCCATGTGATCAAAGATCAGAAACACCGAAAGAGGGGAAGAACCCACCAGAGAGGAAGTAAAAGCGTACCCAGTGCGCCGGGCAAAAGAAGGAAAGTAGAAGGAAGAAGAATAGCGGTTAGTCGGTCGAAGAGAACAAGCGAACGACGGATAGAACAAGAAGCAAAGAAGGAAGAGAAAGAAAAAAAAAAAGATGGAAGGGAAACTCACCGTCTTTCCTCTGTCTCCTCCAGGGTAGAGTTCCGTGAATACTCTCGACATCGGAGATATCGCTTCCAAGCAGTTGCCTGAGCTCCGCGTCCGCGCGATCCTCTTTCGTCCTGAATTTACCAACCTGTAACGATCAGTGAACAGACATCGAATTCACGTGAACAGTCTGCTGGTTTGCGTCGAAGATAGGAAAAAGTCGCGTGTACACGACGATATTCTCCGGGGTAGAAATAGAAAATGGAGAGACAAGCGGGGGATATTAATGCAACGGTAGGCAAGAAAAGAAATTGATTCTACCGGCGGCAAAAAAGCAATTTATTCCCCTCGCCAGGGCGAACCATAATGCCGTTCACGCTCCGATAACTGTATTTGACGAGAGAGAGAGAGAAAAGAGAAAACGGGTCTTCTTGTTCTCTACTGGTCCTTCGCCAGGAGAAATACAAGGCACAGCCTTGTAACTTACCTCTGTGATCATCTTTCCCCTGGTCTTATTTCTTTCACGGTGATTGGCTTTTTTCTCCAGCTGCTGTATCACCCGCTCACGGGTGGTTCTGTACTCGAGCGCGAACTCGGACACAATCCGGCAGAACTCGTTCGGCTTCGTGTCCTGCACCCTGTGCAACGGTATGCCCAGCCAGAGGATGAATTTGTGGAATCGATTTATGATCCGCCTGTGCACGATGCTCAGCACGATTATCCTCTCCGCGCAGTCCGCCAGGAAGTCGGACATTCTGCTTCGACAAAGAGCAACCAGAGATCGGGGATTAATGCCGCGGGAACATTGTCTACGGATGGAGGACAGAGGGACGTTTGCGATATTCGCCGGATTTCTTTCTCTTCGATTCGAAATTAAGGAACGTTAGGAATATTGTCGTTATGTCGTTGATATTCGCACGATGAGGATAATTGTTGTGAGGATGATCGTTCTAAATTATCATTCCAGTGTCAATAGTTGATAAGAGTGTAATTGAAGACGTGAGAATGAGAACGAGGTGAAGGACAAATTTGTGAAAACGATTATTCTGTTTTTTGTCAATTTTTAGGATCATTCTCTTTCCTTTGCTATACGATAAATGTAGGTAGGGTGGAAAATTTGAAATTGTCATTCCGGTGTGAATAGTTGATAAGAATATAAGTTTCTGTTTTTTATAAATTTCTACGTCTTTCTCCATTCGATGCTACAAAAATTAGAGAGGTCTGTTTATCCTTATCACCAGCTCGCTCTGTATTCTGTGCTTTTCCTACCTTTCAGTGCAGTTTCCTATCTTCAAGTGCAGTTTTCTCTTAACCTAGTTTTCATTCCTACGTCTTCAATTTAGGTCAGCATATCAAGCACTCATACATGTCCTTCCTTAACCTGTCCACCGTCAACTACGACTTACCTCCTCCTCAAAAGAAGTCTCTCCTTTCTTCAATTAATTCAACTGTTCCCTTACGATCGAAAGATTTCCGTCGTCAGTAATACCGCTACGTAAGAAACGATATTAAAACATAGTCGCATCTGGTGCAAGCGAGATAAGTAAATTCAATTAACCTTTATCACTTCATAATACTCAGCGAACAAGATCGACCGGGAAAAAAGTATACCATGCGAACAGGTTAAACCGCGGGGCTGCGTTAAATCAACAAGGAAGACGACGTCGACAATTCTTTTTTTCTCGGCCACGTTACACATTCGCGAAACTTGAACGGATCTCACCGGTCCCAACAAAAATTCCAAAAACCACCGCACAATCTCTCCGCGTTCAGCTTCGTCGACGAATCACCGACGTCCTGACAGCGTGGACGTCAAGACCCGCAAAAAGGCAATCACTGACGGCCATTTTTTACACGAAACATTTCCATTACTCGGCGGCGTTCGAGGGGGACGAGTGCAGAGAGAATGAGCGAGAGAGAGAGAGAGCGAGGCTATCGCTTAAAACGAGTTTCGGGCAAAAACGAATTAACCCGGCTCGACATTTAGGACGTCCCGTTACACTTAATTAACGCACGGCCGCACGCGAGCCAACATTAACCAGACGTTTCACCGTTAAACAAAATATCACCGGCGTATATCTGCCATGGCGGAATAACAGGCGTGCATCGGCCTCGACAGGATATGAAGCGTTTGCTGCTAGCCACCGACTTGCTACTTAACTCGATTCTACTCGCTGCAATTAAGTAGGAGATTCGTTTGCTCCCAGATGAGAGCATTGTTGCCTGCTGACGAGCAACAGCAAATACGATTAAACGCGGTCTCGTGCCACGTAGACAGAAGTTCGTTCTGCGGTGGAAAGTAGACGGTGTTATTGACGATCGAATATCGCTTGAGTAATTACTGACTCTGTTGCACGAAGGAGGAAATTTTGCACGTACCTACCAGCTTTTTGGGAAATCAATGGAAATCGTGGTGACACAATATTTTTAGACAAGCAGTGTTCGAAATATTGGAAATGTACAGGTTAATGCAGAATTTTACGACAGGTTTGGTGAATTTTCAAAATTTCGAGGTAACCCTTTCTTTGCACCAAATTGTATAAAAATTCACTTACCTCGGGTGAATGGTTAGTTTATTTTAGAAAAATTAGCGAGAAAATAGGGAATTGGATTATCTGATTGGCCTCTTCCTTGCACTAATTTATTCAGAATTCTTTTCACATTTTTTTTTTTTGCAGTAAAATCTTCAATTGCAATGGTAACAGGGAAAATAGTCACGACGATGGTAAAATGATTTACAAAATTATAAAAAGAATTTCTGTTCCGGTATCGATAGATTAAATTGACATTCAATTTGATATTCCATAAAAACATCTTACTTCGACGAAAAAGAAACACGAAATTCAGAAGATAATTAACCAAAGACTCAAACTAAAAAACGAGCTCACAATAACAAGTACCACACGACATAAAATTAGAATAAATTTCGTTCACAGTTTAATTATTTCTTTTCACGTTATTCCTTCCCAAATAAATCGTTCCATTTCCATATAGAGTATCTATCTACATAAACCCTGTTTCATTCTCCACCTGTTCCGTTCTTCAACAAAAAAATCCCCGAAGTTAATAACCTTAACTAAGAGCGTAGAAAATGAAAAGAGCAGAAGAAGAGAAAAAACGAGAGAAAGCACGGCCAATATAGCCGACTTAGATAAGGGACAAGTCTCGGAGGAAGGGGGGATGGACAGATAAAGGCAACGAAAATCCACCGCGAAGTAGAAACGGGATAAGGTGAAATAAAAGAGGGGGGGGGGGGGGGGAGGATAGGGCGGAGGAAAAGGTTAAAGGGGACGAGTACGGAAGCAGCAGCAGCATGGAAGGAAGAAATACGGTTTTGGTAATTAATGGTGGTGCCATTTGGAGCGGCGCCAGTTTCGCCACGGTGAAGAAGAAAAAAAAAGTCTGTCGCGCAAGTTTATCGAACGTTCCTCGAAGAGATTCTTCGGGAATTTCGCGGTCGGAAGTTCGTTTAAGCTTAACTTCGTTTCGGGGCGAAACTTCTTCAGTTTCGAAATCGATCTCGTTGTCGATACACGATTTCCACTTTGGTACTTACTTGACTTTCATCATCGTAGAGCCGTCGTGCTTCGCGATGAGCTTCAGGTGGTCCCAGGATGCCTTACACTCGCTCTCCAGTTTCCCAATGTTCGCTGCAAGCTCGTCGAAGTCGATCTTCGATGCTCTTGTCACTGCACCGATCTGTACAGAACTCACAGAGTTTTTGGTTATGGCTCGGGACGGGCTCGAAGGTTTGTGCGTGAAATGGAAATTAGGTTATTCAAGATAGTTTCGTTAAATTGAACTTGGAAATTGTTTCTTTCTGTTTATATCGTTAGAAGAAATCGTGCAACGTTTTTAGTAGTAGTTCTCGATAATTATTTGTTACACATTTGTTACATCGAAATGGACAAAACGATGTTAATTTTATGCAAATTATACTACTTCGTATCTAACTCGATTCTAAATACACGAATATTCCACGACTCGTTAAAACGAAGTATTCTAAATAATGACTTTTAGTAGTAGTTCTCGATAATTATTTGTTACACATTTGTTACATCGAAATGGACGAAACGATGTTAATTTTATGCAAATTATACTACTTCGCATTTAACTCGATTCTAAATACACGAATATTCCACGACTCGTTAAAACGAAGTATTCTAAATAATGACATAATTACGGATTGATAGTTGAACTGAAAAGTATCGAATCTCTCCGAAACTTGGTAATTCCTTGATCAATCAACGAATCATAATGACCAGCGTTAACGAGCGAAACTTAGTCCATTTAAACACTTCCCTATAATAATAATCAGGAAGTTGTTAATATTCCAGCCACAACGCAACCTAACTTCGTCATAAATAAATCAATCTTCAGCCACGCCAACCTGAAAGCGCACGGATGCTACATTTGCGATAGCGAACAAAGTACCCGAAAAATAACGCGGTTAAAAATTATCAGGTCCACCTGAAGATCCGAAGACGAGTCATTATACAGAAATGGAATCCAGAAATTACCGTCACGCTGGGAAGAGGTCATTGGTAACCATGGAAATTATATTGTTCGGTAAATATTAACAAATCTGTAGTATCGGGGCCTCCAAACTCAAATACGAAACCGACAATGGAGAATAGAGAGGGGGTAGTTGGCGTAGCGGGCAAAGCCTCGGCTTGCTAAGCCGAAGGTCCCGGGTTCGATTCCCGGTTGGGTCCTTCAGAATTTTTCCGCCCTACAAATGTATTATTTTCTTTCAATTGAAAAACGGACAGAACTTTCAGGTGAAACAATAATTACAACGCGCTCAAATTCAATCTTCAGATCGCTCACTAAACACTCTACGATCGCCGAGAGGTCGATCGAAAATAATTCGGCAGTTGCACCGGAGTCCCCCGGCGAGTTCGTCGCGGGCAACACAATTTGCACGGAATAGCGTGCGACGTAGTAATGGCCTCCTAAGACTCAGGAAGAAGTTCTCAGGGGCAGAGGAAGTTCGCGATTTCGCAAATGTAGCCTCGGTTATTCGGTTTCTCGCGGGTCGAGGTGAAGCACGTTAGGTGGCGGAAAGGGACGAAGGAAGGTGGGCTAAAGTTTTATCGGGCTCCTTCGGCGCAGAAGTAAGCTTCTCTCTCTCTCACCTCCGAATAGAGATCCGTGGAATCCGGAAACTTCTCCATCACCATGTGGCAAAGGTGATGAAGCAGCGAGTGCTTGTGAACCGTATCCTTCACTTCAGGTACTTTGGCGAGGTATTCCAGCTGAAAGCCCTTCACCTGAAAAAGGCCGCGGCGACGTTTCAGCGTAACGCGACGCCCAGAATATCGCCGCACCGCCGGCTAACTTCTACGTTTCCGCCGGTTCTCCGGGCTTTCCGCGCGACGCTTCTGGCCACTTTCGCGTGTAACGTGATTGTCGTGAAAACCCGGAATCGATGTCGGCCGCGCTCCTCTGACGCGACGAGGACGGCATATTCAATTCCACTCGTCGCCTCTCTCTTCCGTACGAATCCTCCTCTCTTTCTCTCCCGCCTCTCTTTTCTTTTTTTATTAAAGCGTTTTTTCTTTTTTTCGTAGCGCGAGTTCGATTGCAACGATGAGTGGATGTACATTAGGGAGATCGTAATTTATTCCGTCTGTCTTGATACCGCCTTTTTTCTGCTTACTTTTTTTTAATTAACCGAAGGACTGCGACTTCTTTTTTGTTTTGTTTTTCTCTGTCGACGGAATGTGGGATATTTTACGTGGAGATCTTTGTTCGTGGTAACTTGTTTCGGAGATTGTAGAGAAAATAGAGAATTCGATAATCGAAGCACCTCCATAGAGGTAAGTTTCTTTTTTGTCATTCGAGCTGAATTATTTAGCTCGCGGTAAATAGAATGTCCGATCGACTCCCCGGGAGTATTTGCAGGAAAAAGTTGAAACGAGGCGAATGCCTGGAAACTTGCGAGTACGATAATTAATTTACGATTTTTCGCTTCGAGAATCAAAGCGTCTAATCAATACCGACGCTTGTAATTTGTTTATTTGAAAGTTGAAAGGGAATTTCCGGACGAGAAAACTAGTTTACGACCGGTTGTAAAATTTTGAACGATGCCTGTGCTATTCGAGCGCGATGTATACTGTTCCATACATTCGCTGGGAACAATATTCAATTAAACCGAAATTTGTGAACTCGAGAAATTCTTATCGAAAGAACAATTTTTACTGCTACAAATTTTTCACACATTTTCGCGAGGTTTTCAATTCAATTGTCTTTATCTTTATCTTTAAATTTTCTATTGTTAATGCTAAATTAATACAGTTAAATTACAGTTAAATTTTCAATTTAATCGTCTTTGTCTTTATAGCGTACCATTTTCTCACGAATTATCAATTTTTCCCAAATTTTCTTTATCTTAACAGTGTATCACTTTATAGCGTGGCAAGTGAAAGAATTATTAGAAATAACAACTTCATTTGATAACTTCGTAAATTCACCGCGTATTATGTCGTAAAGCTCGAAATTTTCTATTTTCTCCGAATTTAAATCGCCGAATTACCCCAATTAGAGTGAAATTATTCGAACAACCGCGGCACTAAATCCGACTAACGAAATTCATTCCACTCGTAATTTTTCCCCGTTATTTCACCGCGGAACGCGAGGAAAAGGTGAGCTGCTCGACCACGCGACAACTTCGATAAACGGTCGCGCCGTGTAAAAACGTACTGGCGAGAGGGTGATAAGGAATTGTTAGTCGTGGCCGGTTTCAAAGAACTCGGCCTGTTAACATATTCGAACGGAAGCGAACGATGACGAATGAAAAGAAATCGTCCTTTGTCAAATTAGAATCGCCAAGTATACCGCACGAATATTCGTGCCAGTTCACCATTCGTGTATTTTTGGTATTGCATGCTTGGCGGTTTCGAGACACGAAACTGTGTACGCGAGCTTGCACTTTACCTCTGTGGCTAGAAGCGTCGTTCGTTCGTTTTAAATAAGATGCTCGTTAGATACATTTAGTTTGCTGAGAAATTACGGTAATATAAATTTACGCTGAATTACTTGTAAGTCGTGTAATATGTTAGGTTTATGCAAAAGCTTGCATTACTTGTAAATCGATGGCGTTAAAAGGCCCTGTGTGTCTTTATTTA